TTATGAATTGTTTTAATGTTTTAAGCTGCTTTAAGAAAGTTAACTATTTTTTTTACTTACTGTTGAAATGTGTTACAGTAACGACACGTCTACAGTTTTATTAAGCATTAAAAACTGCATCAATAACTGTAATCTTCTCGAATGCCTTCACATCAGAGAATTTGTCAGAAGAGAAATTTGCCATGAGACACTTCTGGGCAGCTTTGTATGGAGCGAAGTAAAATTTTGTTATGGATATTTTGTTTGGCTTCACAAGCGGCACAGGCAATGAAAGTGGATTTTTCAATGGACCACAGCCTTCAACCAAAACATGTCCATTTTCAACATCCTCTTCAAGTGGGTTAGCAAATACAACTTCAACAGTTAATGGAGTGTTTAAGATGGGATCTCCAGAGGACTTTAGCAACAGTGGTGGTTTCTTCAGTATTGCCACTGCATGAGTCATTTGCTGTACTCCATTGCTATACCACACAAATAGCCACCACTTGGATCATGTTGTATGCTCTAGACATTTGCCATAACTTAAATATATTATTTGTTCCGGCTCATAAATCTCATCCACACTAATGAACCATTTATCAATTGAAGGGGCTTGTGTTTTTCTCCAATATTTTGTAAGAGAGTTTTCACTGAATATGTTGAATTATGAATTAATATACATGTGGGGTTCATCTCCAAATACAAATCTCCTAGAGGTTTAATTATATTAACAATATCCTCCCAAAAAGACATTAAAGGAGCCCACCATATATGTAGATACGTACCTATATTGTTGAGACAACACTAACATCTATCTGGCACGACACGACATCTGTCGTATTGGAGTTTGTGTATAGTGTGTGAGACCTTCTAAAATCTCATCAAAACCTTACATGAACTCTCTTATATTTTTGTCTGTATATGAATTCTCTGGAGATTTATTTCCTGGTTTATCACTCTTATTCCATTATTCATCTGTAAAATTTATGCTACAGTCAGATTCTCATAATTTTTATATAAAAAGGTTGTATAATAAGGTTGTAAAGATGTTCTTTATCTGTTATTATTTTATATATTTTTTAAATCAATCCAGTCTGAGATTCTTGTGACCAACATATTTTTCAAAGGATGATAGAGACTCTATAAGTCGGACTCATTTTTTAAGCTAGTAGTGAATTACAAAGTTGTAATTCAACATACATTTTCGCCAATATTTATTGTTTCGTTATTGTAGTCGATTATAAAATGCCCCAATCTACGGTATAGAACTTTGTTGGTGAAATATTTTCTCCACATTGCCTTTTTCCGTTCCTGGGGGGAAGTTCTCATCAAAAGTTAGGGAACTCCTCATTAGGGAATATTTATATATTATTTCTCCTTTCCTGCCTAGTTCTTTTATTATTTTAGATAAATGCTGTTTTTCAGTTTAGTTAAATAGGAGTATTGTAATGTAGATGTTTTCCTTTCCATATACATTTCCTAATTATTCCCTTATATAACTTAAAAAAATAACTTTTAGGGAAATCGACTGGTAATTGATTGGTAGGGTTTTCATAATATATAAAATCCTTTGTGTAATATTCATTTTGGTAACATTAATTCTACTAAACCATGAAATATTCAGTTTAGTCCATTTCTGAATGTCTGACTTTATCTCCTCTATGATCTTAAGGTAATTAAATTCATGCAACCTTTTTATATTATCCATTAGATAGATACCCAAATATTTAATTTTGTCCCGTACCCATCTAAATGGGAAAGTGTCTCATAATGTCTTAGCTATATTCTCAGTTATTGAAATATTCAGAACCTCAGACTTAGATTGATTTATTTTGAAGTTGGAGATTTTTACTAATACTAATAACTCCTTCATTATATTTGGTAGAGAAATTTGAGGATTGATCACAAAAATAATAAATCATCTGCAAAAGTTGCAATTTTGTGTTGTTTTATTCCTACTACTAAACCAGATATATCAGAATTATTACATATAGCACACATAAGTGGTGTTATCACGAAGGCAAATAATATCGAGGAGAGAGGGCATCCCTGGGGTGTTCAATTTAACAGGGGAATTGGTCTAGAGAAAAAGCCATTAATACTAATCTTGGAAGTAGTTGTATGATATAGGGCTTTTATCCATTCAATCATAATTGGGCCAAAACCAATATGATCCAGTACATCAAATAAGAAGGACCTATTCACTCAGTCAAATGATTTCTCTGCATCAGTTGGCAAAATCAAAACAGGAATGCCTTTCCTCTTAGACTCAAATATCAAACTTAGTTCTTTTGTTGTAGCATCCCTCACCTCCCTATACAGAGCAAAAAATCCACCTGGGTACTTTAATTCTCTCACTTAAAATTTTAGCAAAGATCTTTACATCGCAGTTGAGTAATGATTTTGGTCTGTAACTAGAGCATTGCTCATAATCTTTTCCCAGTTTAGGTTTAACAATAAGATGAGTTTCATGTGATTGTGCTGACAGATTAACATCTCCAACTAAAGAATTACATAATTTGAATAGGTCTGAACCTAGAAAGGTCTTTTAACAATTAACACATGGCTTACCTAGCGCTAGATAAACAATATTGCTTTAAATGTCCTCCTTATCCAACAGTCAGAGTCGGCCTTAGGGGTGTGCGAGCTGTGCGGCCGCACAGGGTGCCATGGAGCAGGGGGCGCCATGCAACCGACACAGCTCGCACACCCTCCTAGTGCCAGCCTGTGAGGGAGTGCTCAGAGATCTCCCCTAATACAGACTGCGCTGTGTAGGGTGTCTGTGCTCCGCCCCCCTGCCTCTTAACTCTGCCCTCACTGATAGACCCCACTCGGGTCTATCAGTGAGGGCAAATGGGGCGGAGTTAAGCGGTTATTGGAGGTGGAGTTACACGACAAGCGGGGGCGGATATACACTGCAAGCGGGGCGGAGCTACAGGCAGGCGAACCCTCTGCCTGGAAAGTTAGAGGAAGCAGTTCCTGCCCCCCACCTAGCCTAACTGTGCCCCACGCCCCCCACTTAGCCTAACTGTGCCCCCAACCCCCACCTAGCCTAACTGTGCCCCACGCCCCCCCACCTAGCCTAACTGTCCCTCTGCTTCCCCCCAGCCTAACTTTGCCCCCAAACCCCACCTAGCCTAACTGTGCCCCAAACCCCACCTAGCCTTACTGTGCCCCAAGCCACCCCCCCACCAAGCCTAACTGTGCCCCTGCCCCCCACCCTAGCCTAACTGTGCCCCCACGCCCCTACCTACCCAAACTGTACCCATCTAGCCTAACTGTTCCCCTGCTTCCCCACCTAGCCCAGCTGTGCCTGTGCTCCCCCACCTAGCCTAACTGTGCCCCACACCCCCTACCTAGCCTAACTTAGCCCCTGGACCCCCACCTAGCCCAACTGTGCCCCTGCTCCCCCACCTAGCCTAACCGTGCCCCTTTTTCCCCACCTAGCCCAAATGTGCCCATGCTCCCCCACCTAGCCTAACTGTGCCACACACCCCCCACCTAGCCTAACTTAGCCCCATGCTCCCCACCTAGCCTATCTGTGCCCCCTGGTCCCCCACCTACCCACTGTGTTTAAGCTACCTACTGTGCCCCTGCTCCCCAGCTACACATTGTGCTCCTGCACCCCCACTTACCCACTGTGCCCCTTGCTTCCCCAGCTACCAACACTGTGTCCTCTCTCCCCCAGCTACCTTCTGTGCCCCTGCTCCTAACTGTCCCTCTCCTTCCCACTGTGCCCCTGCTCCCCCAGTTACCCACTGTGCCCCTGCTTTCCCAGCTAGCCACTGTGCTCCCTGCTCCCCCAGCTACCATTATACTACTACTGCTCCCCCACCCTCCTCCACCTCCCCCCTGCTCCCCCCTACCACTACACTACCTATGCTCCCCCACCTACTGTGCCCCTGCTCCCCAACCTACCAATACACCACCACTGTGCCCCCAGCTACAACCACTGTGCCCCCTGCTCCCCCACCTACCACCACCATGCCCCCTACCACTACACTGACCTGCTCCCCCAACTACCACTACACTACCGCTGCTCCCACACCCTCTTCCACTATGCCTCCTGCTCCCCACCTACCAGTACACGACCTCTGCTCTTCATATCAGCACACATATCACACACAGTCAATACAACAATTACAAATATAACACACAGCCAACACATAGCATACGTATCACACAAGCCATCGCTCCTATCACACACAGACACTACACACTAAATCATATTATTATGAGATTTATTACAGCAGATCTCTATCATACAAAATGCAATATGTAGCTGTCCTCCGAGCTCCGGCAAATCAAAACGTTGCCGCGGATTACTACAGGAAATCTTTGACACTGTAAGTGCCTGAACTCACAAGACAGTTACTTATGGTCTTGCACCTGGTGGAGGCGCCGACCAGATTCCCAGCATACTCGATCACCAAAGTTCAACATGCCCACCTCTCTGCAAGGTAATAACAGGGAAGGGGGAATCATTTTTGCTTTTAAATAATTATTAATTTAATAAATACTATATACAAACATTACACACCTATTGACATACACTGTACATGGATAAAAGGGTATGATGGGGGGAGGGGGCGCTGTGAAGATTCTTGTAATGACCTGTAATGACTAAGATAAACTAACCAAACTATTTTTTTTTTTAATTTTTGGCAATCTTATATTAATTTGCTTGACTATCCTTTCAAATTAAAGATACATATTTCAACACACAAATTGGTATTTACAACAACAATTATTGAATAACAATTTACATAAAATCAAAAGTGGGTGGGAGGAACGGGTATGATACATAAAAAACATATGAAACAATATTGCACATAAGCTATTTTACTAGATACTCTTTACATACATTGGCGTCAATTTAATTTGTTTATATCAGAATTCCAAATTATCACATTGCACAAAGACAGTTTGAATACAATTGCTATTATTGTACTGTGATATTCATGTGACTAGATATACATTTTTTTTTAAACAAGAGATTTCTTTTGTTGTTTATCTAACAGGATAACTTTTAAATACTACCAAGATGTATTAGCCATTGTTTTTGCTATAAATGAAATCAACAGCAATAATGCCTTACTCCCAAATATCACATTGGGATTAGAGATGTATGAGTCATGTGCATGTGAAAGTAAAGTGCTGGAGAGTACACTCACAATACTTTCGGGGAAGCAGGAATATGTACCAAATTACAAATGTGGAAATAAAGGAATCCTAGCTGGCTTCATTGGGCATCTTTTTTCATCTTCAAGTTATATCATGGCACAACTTACTGGAATTTATAGCTATACTCAGGTAAGTAGTAAATGAATTTAGACATTTGAGGCAATTTTATAAAATATTTATGCTGTGTGTGTTGTCTGGTCTTCTACTGATAAAATAATCATTTTAGGAGTAATGATTTGCAGATGAAATTGTCTGATGTCTGTGAAGATATAAATATGTTGTGCCATATCAGGACAGGTTTTATGCCCCTGGCATCAAAGACAGGATATATCCCAGGTGCCTCTCCTCTCTTATATAATTTGTGTTTGTTCATCTTTTGTGCCACACATTGTAGTTATTGTATTTGTTCTTCTGTCTTAATTTAAAAAATAAATACATAAAGAAGTGATTGCAGTTTGGATAATCAAGGTCCAAAAATTACATTTATATGCATCAGAATTTGTATTGTTCCTTAAATTGACACAATTCAGTATATGTGACTTCCTGTGTACAGATAAACAAGATGAACTATGCAGCCATCAAAGGTGGAAGTACGAGCAGAGGATAATCGTAGGTCTTCAGTAGAGTGTAGGGACATAGGCGTGCGCACGGGGTGTGCCGGGTGTGCCTGGGCACACCCTAATCCCGCGGCACGCCTATGTATATTGAGACCGGCAGGGGAGATCTCAGGATCTCCCCTGTCGGCTCAGGCAGAGCCGGCGCTATCCGAGCGCCGGCTCTGCTCTCAGCCTCCCTCCCCACTGACCCGCATGCATGGAGGGAGGCAGGAGAGGACCTGGCAGAGCTATTGCCGGCAGCTCCGCCGGGTTCCTCTCGCGAGATATGAGCGTTGCCACGGCAACGCTCAAATCTCGCGAGAGTGAACTCTAGCCCCACAGGGGTTAGAGTTCACTCTCCACTGGACCATCAGGGATCACAGCAGCAAGGATCCCCTCCTCCACTGGACCACCAGGGAAGGAAGCAGCAGCACGATCCCCCCTCCCTACAAAAGGTAAGAAGGGAGGGGGGATAGCAAGTAATGTACCCCCACCTCCACCCCCACAATCACCCACATACAGCACACACACAGCACCCACACACATTCAGCACCCACAGACATACACAGCACCCACACACATACACAGCACCCACACACATACACAGCACACATACAGCACACACAGACATACACAGCACCCACACACATACAGCACCCACAGACATACACAGCACCCACACACATACACAACACACACACACATACAGCACCCATACAGCACCCACACATACAGCACCACACACATACACAGCACCCACAGACACACAGCACCCACAGACATACAGCACCCACACACATACAGCACCCACACACATACAGCACCCACAGACATACATAGCACCACACACATACAGCACCCACAGACATCACAGCACCCACACATACAGAACCCACACACACCCACAGATATACACAGCACCACACACACACACAGCACCCACACACACAGCCCACAGACACAGCACCCACACACATACAGCACCCACAGACATACACAGCACCCACACACATACAGCACCCACACACATACAGCACCAACACACATACAGCACCCACACACACATACAGCACCCTCACAAACACACACAGCACACAAACAGCACCCTCACACACACACAGCACACTAACAGTACCCTCACAAACACAAACAGGACCCTAACAAACACACACACAGCACACTACCAGTACCCTCACACACAAACAGCACCCTCACACACAGTACATTAACAGCACCCTCACAAGCGCACACACACACACAAACAGCACCCTCACACACAGTACATTAACAGCATCCTCACAAGCACGCACACACAAACACCCTCACCCACATAGCACACTACCAGCATCGTCACACACACATCACACTAACAGCACCCTCACACAGCACACACACACACACATGTGTGTGTGTGTGATGTGTATATATATGTATATTATATATATATATATATATATATATATATATATATATATATATACATAAATACATATATATATATATATATATATATGCGGCGTGTGCTTGTGCTTTAGGGTGCACACCCTAATGCAATAGGCTGCGCACGCCTATGTGTAGTGACCTAGATGGGACACCCTTGTGTATTAGGGAGGATAGGTAGGTTGGAGCTGCTTTGTGCAGAGATTTGTTAATAAGTACCAGAATTTTAAATTGAGTCCTATATCTCATGGGAAGTTAGTGTAGGGACTGAGGAGGGAGGAGTGGGAGGTGTGGGCAGGCAGGAAGATGAACCTCGCAGCTGCATTCATAATAGACTGTAATCAGGCAAGTTGGAAACATGTTAGACCACTGAGAAGCGGATTGCAGTAGTCAAGGTGAGAGAGAATAGCGGCATAGACCAGAATCATAGCCACATTCAGCAGTAAATAGGGGCAGATATGCACTATGTTTTTGAGATGGAAGAGACAGGATTTGGTGATCGACTGGACTTGAGGTGTAAAGAATCAAAGGGAACACCTAGGCAGTGAGCCTGAGAGGTACAGCTTATGGTAGCACTGTTGATTTGAAGGGAGACTGATACTGGATTGTTTAAGAAAGTGAGCAGCCATCCAGTTGGAAATAGCAGAGGGTAGTCAGAGAGATGAGTTAAGAGGGACGGTGAGAGATCTGCATAGAAATGATTTTGTAAGCCAAAGCCGCTGATCATTTTACCAAAGGAGGCAGTGTAGATTGAACTTCCTTCGGGAAGCCCAACAGAGAGGCTGATCCAGGAAAAAATAGATCTCCTGAGCTAAGCCATATAGAGCAGGGTGATCTCATTGATTAGAGAATCATTCACTCAATGAGTAAATGAGGTAAGCCCTGAACCACAGGGTTTAGCTCGGATACAGATGCTGTAGTAGTAGTTTAGGCAGGAAGCTGCACCTAGTGGACCCTGCACCCTGGTAATAATTCAAACCATTCTAAAACAGTTTGACCACTAGCAACTGAGGGTACCTGGCACTGTAACTACTACAGCATGCTGCAGTGGTCATGGTGCTCACATTGTTCCTTTAAATATATCCAGCAAGTTCAGTACTAATTTATAAGATAACAGTTTATTTAAAGCCAGAGTCCAAATTCAAACTCTGAGGGCCAGGTAAAAGCAAAAGAATCAAAATAACAATGTAGGGTCAATACTAAGAGAAATACAAAGTTGAAATGCTTCTACAAATAAGTACTGTAAATATCTCCAATACATAAGCATAGGCAATTTTTGTTCTCAAAGTGGTTACTAAATATCAGTCAACAGCTGGTAGATATTTACAATATAGGTTTCTAGCGCATACATTTGAAGGCAACTCAAACACCCAAACCAGAATCTCTCTGCTCCAGTCAAAAAGAAAAAGAGTACGGTAGAAAAAGGGGGTAGCGCCTTGATGATTTCAGAGGTAGAAGTAGTCTCAGTGGTATTTGGATAAATAAAAGAGAAAGAATACAACAAAATATAGTGTAGTGTATTCTGTATAAAATAGTTTAGAGTAAGAAGAAGTACACTTACTATGTTGTAAGCATCTGGGTGGTATGATCCCCACCTAAGGATGGCTGGTCTCTTCTTCAATAGAGTGCTAAGGTGCGTGGTGACCTCAGGTAGGCAGGTTAGCTCAAGATGATATATGTCCCAGTGGAAGACTTTATGAACTTTCAATCAAATTACATGATGGTTTTATGCTAAAAACCATAAAATAATAAACAAGATAAAATGGGTACTTACAGAGGCAGAGCAAAAATATGGTTTTGCTCAATCCACAGCATTTATGTGGCATGCTCCCCACCAAGGAGAAAAATAAAATAAACAGCGACTTTAATCAAATAAAGTAGATGTTTATTTTTAAAAAAATTCTCGACTTACCCTTGATCTTCTCTGCTGGAGTACATTTACATTTCCCCTTGGTGTGGAACATACCATTTAAGTGATGTGGATTGAGCAAAACTATATTCAACTCTTCCTTGATCAATATTCTGCTTTGTTTCCTTACTTTCAATCACCTGACATTCCTTCTTTTGTAGTTGAAGATTTCAGCATCCTTATTAAGCCCTTCACTGCCAAGTAATTGGCAAAAAGAAAACACTGTCAGAGTCTGCATAATTTAGGTGTCCTGAGCTGTAATCTTTAAAAATATTTTTCATGTTAATATGCATAAATAGTACATTTTTAAATGGAAACAAAAAACAAACAAAAAAATTTGGTTGTATAGAAAAACTTTAAAAAAAATAATTTACCAAATAATGAAGTAACAGGAAAGAAGACAGTGTTGTAATTTAATGTATACATATTGTATGATTATGTCATAATATATGTTGTCACATTGCCATGATGTTGCCCATACCATATCACCATCATTGCAACCATGCTGCGTCTTTGAGCACACACATACTAATGCACGCACACACATATACACTGATACATGCACATAGATACACACTCTGATACATGCACATATCCACAGATATCCCAAACACACTTACTGATACATTTGGCATAAATACAAAAACACAAAGATATTCACTGTCGCCAGACATAGACACACATTCTCAGACACACAATGTCAGACATATATACACACTCACACAGCTGCCAGAATGCTCTGTTAGACACTTACACACATATACAAGCTGATAGACATACACATTGCCAGTCACATACACTTATATTCATGCAGGAACACACACTCTCACATACACACACTGCCAGAGCAAGGGACAGCTATATGTATGTATGCATATATATATATATATATATATATAAATATATATATATATATATATATATGAGGTATAGGTTACTCTGGGAGGCTGTAAGCATTCTTAAAGAGATGGGTTTTGAGGCACTTTTTAAATGATTGAAGGAAAGGAGCCAACCACCAGAAGTCGTGCAAGAGTGAGTTGGCCGTAAGGGTGCGAGCAGTGGACAGGAGGTGGTCATGGGCAAAGTGGAGAGACCGAGAATGGGCATACCTATGGATCAGTGAAGGAGGTACTAGAATTGGTCAATTCTTTATAGGTGTGGATTAGTACCCACATTGACTATTGACTACCATAGGATACAGGAAGCCAATGTAAGGAGTGACAGAGGGGAGAGGTGTGAAAGGAGCGACAGGAGAGGAAAATCAGTCTAGCTGCAACATACATTACAGACTGTAGGGGGGCAATACAACTTCTGGGAAGACCAATTAGGAGAGAGTTACAATTATCCATGCAAGAGATTACTAGAGCATGTAAAGCTCCTTAGTGGCATCTTACGCAAGAAAGGGGCGGATGCGGGCTATGTTTCTAAGGTGGAATCTACAGGATTTGGTAACAGACTGAATGTGAGGCTCAAAGGTGAGACCAGAATCAAATATAATGCAAGGCAGGGCCGGATTATCATAGGGGCTGATGGAGCTGCAGCTCCAGGCCCAAGGCACATGGAATAGGCCCATTGATTACACACTACTCTTAGGGTTGCCACCTGGCCGGTATTTTTTTGAGGCTGCCTGGCCAGTGCCGATATTGCAGTAATACCGTCAATACTAATGCCGGTATTTTTCTCAGTATAAACAAAGGTTACCCTGCAATACCATCAACGCTGTGTGTGTGGAGAGGAGCAGGGATAGGAAGTTACAGCATATACTGTACCTGCATTTCTCTACTCACTGATCTGCGGGGGAACAGCTACACAGCACAGAGAATCCAGACAGCAGTTCCCAGCCTGCAGAGACAGGGAAGTGAGGGATGGGGTAAAGGCTGCAGGGAGACATGAGACACTAGGGGACACTGTAAGACATGGGGACACAGGGAGACCTCTGGGGATGCTGAGACACTTGGGGACACTTGGAGACACTGGGACACAGATACACATGGGGACACTGAGACATGGGGACACAGAGACACATGGGGACATTTGGGGACACTAAGACATTGGGACACTGAAACACTAGGGGACACTGAGACGTGGGAAAACTGAGACACTAGGGGATGCTGGGCGACATGGGGACACAGACACACATGGGGACACCGAAACATAAGGAAACAGACACATGGGGACACTAAGACATGGGGACACTGAAACACTAGGGGACACTGAGACCTGCAAAAACTGAGACACTAGGGGACGCTGGGAGACATGGGGACACAGACACTTGGGGACACTGGGAGACATGGGGACACTGAGACATGGGGAAACAGACACACATGGGCACACTGAGACACTTGGGGACACTGGGAGACATGGAGACACTAAGACACTAGGGACACAATGTTCCCAAGTGTCTCAGTGTCCCCATGTCTCCTAGCCAGTGTCCCTAGAGTCTCAGTGTTCCCATGTCTCCCAGTGTTCCTAGTGTCTGTGTGCCCATGTCTCCCAGTGTCCCCAGTGTCTGTGTTCCCATGTCTCCCAGTGTCTCTAGTGTCTCAGTGTCCCCATTTCTCCCAGTGCCTCCATGTCTCCCAGTGCCTCCATGTCTCCCAGTGTTCCTAGTGTCTGTGTGCCCATGTCTCCCAGTGTCTGTGTTCCCATGTCTCCCAGTGTCTCTAGTGTCTCAGTGTCCCCATTTCTCCCAGTGCCTCCATGTCTCCCAGTGTCCCAAAGTGTCTCAGTGTCACCATGTCTCTCAGTGTCCCCTAGTGACACGGGGACACTGGGAGATATGGGGACACAGACACTAGGGTACACTGGGTGAAATGGGGACTCTGGGCAACATGGGGACATAGTGACATGGGAACACTGGGAGACATGGGGACACAGACACTAGGGGACACTGGGGAACATGGGGACACTGGGTGACATGGGGACACTTGGAGACAGGGAGACACTGGGAGCAATCCATCTATACAGCAGATTCAAACTGTAAGTAGTTTTTGGGTGATTTCACAGAATTTTCTCTGTCACTCCTTCTGATTTACATCATGTGATGTCACGCATACATAATTAGTTATGCAAATTAGTAAGGCTTGTATTTTTTTCCAAGAACGGTGGCAATCCTAACTACTCTTCACATACTCTTGCTTCAGTATCAAAACTTAAGAGGGATATATGGAAACAAAACGTGTGTGGTCTGGCTGAAATTAAATTAGTTAAGGTAATGTTGACTCTGGTCTCACTTACACTGTGGCATGTTCCCTTTCTTCTATACTCACTGCATCCACCTTTTCTCTGTCCCAGACTGTATACCAGGAGCTTCTGCCTGCTAGTAAGACGATAAGGAGACAAGTGGACATGTGAGTGCTAGGGGAAAGTCCTTAGAAAGCCTGGAGCGAGCGCATCATTAGACACATTTATGCCAAGCTCTGGATGCTATTGGCCTGCGTGCATGATTGGCAGGCAGCCTGACATGCATTCATGCCAGGCTAGCCTTCCAATTCTTTGGGCAGACACGCCTCCTTTTTGGGCATGTTCATCCCTATCGGAGTTCTGGTTACATGATCCGCGTCAGTGGCCCACCCTTTTACACAACCCATTGACTTCCTGCTTCACTGGACACTGCTGTTAGGGGGTATGGATTTACTTGAAAGATGAAACCATGAATTAGAGAGAGATTAGCATATATTAAGAGAATCTGAGTTTTTTTATAGCTGAGTCCTATGAGTTTCCCTCCTGCAACATCTCCACCAGATACATAACGTTTGAGAGGTATGACTGTTTTAGTGTTTTTGGTTGATAAGATTCTGTACATAGGCCCCTCAGAATTGTCAGCACCAGGCCCACTCGGCTCTTAATCTGGCCCTGTTGCAAGTATGGGCTGATGTGGGGACCACCAACTTGAATTGAGAGCGAGAGAGGAATATTATTATTCGTAGGAGGAAAGACAAGAAGTTCAATTTAGAGAGATTGAGTTTCAAAAAGCGGGAGGACATCCAATCTAGTAAAGCAGTGAGACGTTGCAGAATAAGGAGAGGTGTGGGGAGGAGATATATATATGGGTGTCATCAGCATACAGGTGGTATTGGAATCTAAATGAGGAAATAAGTTTGCCAAGAGAGGCAGTATAAAGAGAAAATAGAATGGGACCAAGTACACAGCCTTGGGGGACTCCAGGAGAGACAGGATGAAGGGAGGTGGTATCATTAGAAAAGTAGACACTGAATGAGCGTTGGGAGATATAGGAGGAAAACCAAGAGAGGACAAGGTCACAGAGACCTTGTGATTAAAGAGTTTGGAGAAGGACATGGTCAACAGTGTCAAAGGCAGCAGAGAGGTCAAGAAGAATTAGTATGGAGTAGTGCCCTTTGGATTTAGCTTTGATTAGATCGTTAGTGACTTTAATAAGAGCAGTCTCTGTAGAGTGAAAGGGGCGAAAGCCAGGCTGAAGAGTGTCAAGGAGAGAGTTGGAATTGAGGAAACAAGTCTTTCCAGAAGCTTTGAGGGAAAAGGGAGAAGGGATAAGGGATGATAGTTAGAAGGGGAGGACGGGGCAAGATATGTTTCTTTTAAGATGGATACTACAGTAGCATGTTTAAGGGCAGAAGGGACAACACCAGAAGAGAGAGAGCAGTTAAAGATGTGTGTTAAGGAAAGCACAAGACAAGAGGAGAAAGATCTGATAAGGTGAGATGGGACAGTTCTTACCGTAAAGAACCCTTTCCTCTGAGATGAAGCAACAAACTCCATTTTTGAATGTCCAATGTACTATACTATAGAATCAGTTTGGTATTAAAAAGTAATCCAGTTTTATTTATTTATAGAATACATGATAATCTACAGCTTAATACAATATTTATACATGTACAGTAAACATAAGATTCATACTTTTAAAATATAAAATATACATATATTCTTTAAAAAAACTATACCCATTATATACCCAATCTTAAAACCTGCAAATAAATGATGAAGAATTAGATATTAGAAGAATAAACAATAGCAGAGAAGGAAATATTAATGAATAATTAATAAAACGTATCAATGTAAAAGTATAATATAAAGCAAACAGCTTGGGTGTGATGACGTGATAGGCACATGCCGTTTCAACACGGAAGATAAGGGACTCCGAGGAATGAAATAGAGAGCGGGCCACGAGGCATGCTGAGACGCTGAGAAGCTGAGTTCAAGGTTCGAGTAAGGAGAGAACACGACTGATACAGCTACAGGAGATAATATAGAGTTAAAGAGATAAGTGATGGGGAGACTGTCTGTGAAGATTTACTGCACAACTCTACTTTACTCCAGATTCATCTGGATAAGGATTCAGACTTAAACAGCTAAAAAGAAGATCAAAGGAATACAAAGTTGAAAAGAGGAATTCCACCGAATGGGTAGCTGTCAGTAAGGTATGAATCATTACTGAATACTGAATCCTGCTGAATGCTTAAAACTGCACAGACAATCAGGTACACATGAATAGTATTATTTATTTTTTAGTTAAATTGTGGAAGTAAAAAAAGGGAACAACTTTCTTCAAATGTTTAAGGATATTAAGTAAACGTGCCTGAACCCTGCAGATATATACTGTTAAAAAAAAAAAAAGATATATTAAAACATTTATAATTAAAAGACTAAAATCAAAACTAATCCAAAGAAAACAGCCATAATATTTACTTTGCTGTACTAAGTATATAGAGCTGTAACTACCTATATATAATAAGGAAAAGAGGAAAGAAAAAAAAAAAAGAACAAAATAGAACAGAAGAAAAAAGGGTTAAAAATGGCATCTAAAAGAATGCAAGAAAGTAAATCAAGTGTAAAAAATTAGAAAAAAAGGACAAAAACAAAAAAAAAACAGCTTTCATCCTTATTCTCCATACTAGACTCCGAATTAATGGAGAAAAACAGTGCAGATACATCCCTGTCATTATCTCAAAATACACAGCCTCCCGCAGCAGAAAGTGACACTGTCTCCCCAAGCTTCCTAAAAGATTGCCTCGATAGATCTTAAAAATGAAATAAATAATAAATTTATAGAGCTGAAATCAGATATCCTGTCTCTTAACCAGAGAATGCAACATATGGAACAGACAGAATAACAGAGAGGAAATCAACTTGGATATGCAAGAAAAACAGAATAGGATGGAATCTAAAATAATGCAGTTAGAAGAAAAAATAAGTGACCTTGAAGATAGATCAAGGAAAGAAAACTTAAGATTCCGTAACATACCAGAAGACATCAAAGATAGTAAATTAAAAGATTTCTTAAAAGAACTCACCCATTGCCTAGAATTGCCAATCGACAATCATGAACAGAAAATGGATAGATGTCATAGACTTCCACGTAATAGAACAACACCAGGTCATCTACCATGTGACGTTATAGTGGCTTTCCACTCTTACAAATTCAAGTGGAGAATTACAGGAGTTTAAGATAAGGAGTTCATTGGAAGATAAATTTAAGGACTTAAAAATATTGCCAGATGTCTCTTACCATACACGTGCAAAGAGGAGATCCTTTTAATTTATTTTTCCAATTATAAAACAACAAAACTTAAAATTCAAAAGGGGATTTCCAACAGCCCTGAGAATTATGTATGAGAATAATTGGTACACTACGGAATGGGTCAAAAATAAAAATTGGTTATAATATAGGAAACTTGTTTGGTGGTTTGGGAGAATTGTTTGAGGAGGGGATGAGGGCATAGAGGGATGAACTATGGCGTGTTAATAAAAGTAGACACAGAATTGTCACTTTAAAGAATTTAAATTAATATAATTATAAATAGATAAGGTATAAAGAAAAGTTCAATACAGATACAGACGGTTAAAATAGATGAGAAATATCACTACTCGATGACAGATTTATCTAAGCACAATATCTTATAAATTAAATCTTTATTAGATGAAATATAATCACATAGGATTTAACACTAAATTAGATGCCAATAAAGCAATACCCACATGGTCACATGTAGATAATAGCCTAGGAAAGATTAGACAGTCCTAAGACAAATATTTTTCTATTTTTTATTTTTTATTTTTTTTATTATATAATGTAATAATAGATTTGTAATCACCAGCATGGCACAATTAATTAAAGCATATTCAGGGGTTTCACATAGCTAATTACGGTTAACAAGATATACAG